CTTGGTAATGCTACTGAACGACGAAAGTATAGTGCTAAGAAAAAAACTGAAACAACACAGAATATTTCTATTTGAGTCGATTTTCAAGAGAATAGAAACAATAACTCAGATAAAAAATGTGATCGATCTGTCTCATGTACCTTTTTCAATTTCTAGGCTACTCAGCTGTAAGCCAAATGAATCCTTTGTTACTCAGAACAATATACGAATGTCATGCTTTTCGTTAATAATTCTTTTGATTTTCTAGTTATTTTGTTTTAAAGATTCGGCTTATGTAGCTTGATCTTGAATTTCTTTATTAACAAAAGCTGCTTGATACTACGGTATTAGTTAGCAGGCTTTGGGATGCCTCTGAATTACATCGTCATCATATCTGGAGTTCAAATAGCGGTGGAAAGTTGTCCGTTCTGATTGCTTGTTCCAATAGAAGTGACAGCCGTTATTAGTATTCATGGAGAACGCCAAACAGCGCGTTAGGCTAGCGAGGCATCTACGTTTGTTAAAACTGATTTTGTGGGCATATCTGATCTCGCTTATCCTTCATAATGCATCAGTAAGATTTTTTTAGGTTTGAAATGAAAGAAGCACCAATGATCAAAGAGGCATATTTTCAGAGCGCTCTGTAATGTGGCTACATTATTACCTCAGCTTCCTCGGTTATGAAAACAAAGTGAAATTCAATACTGCAATACTTTTTCTCTTATGGATATCGTGCGATGTCATGTTGTTGTGTGGTGAGATAACTTTATTTTCATCTGATTAAATTAGCACTTCCAGCTAAATCAAATTAAGCGATATAGGGAAAATGGGTTGAATTTTAAAAATTTGAGGCATTCGTACATCTCTATGATAAAAATCATTCCCCCCTCTACACTCACAAATTTTGAAGGGTGCGCTGCAAAATACACATCTTTACTCAACTTTGTAGTTGTACCAACAGAAAACTTTGTCAAGTGCATAAATACGCAAGTTGGGGGAAGATCTCGAATCCTTTATATTTTCTCGGACCTACGAGGAGCGTGCAAACATAGCGTCAACCACCTCGATTTACTCAAACTTTCTATCTTAAAAATGCCAAGTTCACATGCAGATCATTAGAGATAGAAAGTTGCAGAACGACAACTTTATTATCTGGGCAAGAATCAAAAATAGTGTTGAGATTTATCGAAGTAATTATAGTACAATTTTAATGATTATTAATTCTTTCGTTTTGGGTTCATAAAACATGGATTGCGAAAAGGAGAGCTTCAAGCTTTTTAAAACAAAATTAGAAAAACTCTTGAAAGTTAAGCATTTTTCCCAAAACCTCCACTCGTGGCTGAACTCTAACCCTATATGAATGCCTTTACTGATGTAATCGGGGAGATGCTGAAGTTGGAAGCAGAGATTAAGAGTTTAATCCTTAAAAACAATATTAAATCGACTATTTTTGTATGCTAATATTGGCTCTC